TTCTCCAGGGAGTGTGGCACTTTGAACTGGAGTTACCGCGTTTTTCTTTGATTCATAGATATCCTCAATACTTGGCATACCCAAGTTTGAACTTTTCCCGTTCCGCTCATCTAACGCATTATCTACAGGCCGCATGCATTATAAAACACTTCACTGATCTGGCCTGTTATTCACGTGCATGAAATCGACCTAGAAAATTGTTTTTTGAACTCTTATTTTAATACGCCGATCACTGTGTTCTCACTTCTTTCAGGGCTGGGCCATTTATTGTCCTCTTCCTACGGGGATCTCGGCCATTGTAATGTCTCTTATCTTAGCCATATCATTTATTGGTAATCTACGCGATATTTAATCTGCAGGATCCTGTTTGCCCTTCATGTATCTCTACTAGCTTTGGTGTGGACAAAACACATGTGGTTACTAAGCTATTATTCACAAACCTTTCAAACTTTTCAGTTGCATTTTTCATACGAGAAGGCGAGATTAACGAATCCATCTAGTAAATGACCTAGGGGATGGAGATATTTAAAATACTCTTCAATCTGAACACAGAGCATGTAGACCGTTGGTTCCGTTACAGATATAGTTACAAGTTTCAGGGGAACGATTCTAGACTTAGCCATCACAAATGTGCAGTAAATTTAGCGAGAAACACTTTCGTAATTAGTATACGTTGCAATTACATACGAAGCTAGGAAGCATCAGATAAACAGTGAATCTGAGCAAATAATGGTTCGAATTGTTATGTTAAACGTCTCGATGTGAGCAAGTTATCCATGAGTACCTTTGCATCCCAGTCTAGTTTCTGTCGGCGAGTATCGTTTAAGTACAATTCGGCCGGAAGTATCATTGGAGATCCAAGTGCAAGCAATATAAAGATAGGTACCGCCTACGACGAAATAGTTTTTCTGGTCAGGTTTATATGAGATCTCAGAACATAATCCATCCGTTCGAACACTACACTCTATACATAGGGCTCGTTTACTCCTTTGATCGGACTCATTAAAATTAGTATTAATCTCAATGACGTCTTCATCCAGAACTAAATTCACCACTTAAACACTATTAGGTGACAATTTATTTAGGTTTACTGCTCCTAGGCTTTATGAATGTCTTCATCTGGATTAGTCTCTAACATCCACACTTATAAATATATCGTCCATGTTGAACTGTTCCTTAACTTTTCCTAGTCTTCACCTGACCACCGCAAATATTTAGGATCATTTCCATTGTGTGGCGAAACTACTGCTTCATGTGAAATAGCTTCAATATCTCCTACAACACCTATTGATCGACGCCGAAACCTTGTGAAGACATTTAGTAAGTTAGTGACTAATTTGGCTCCGGAATAGAGATCCTTATCTGAAGATTCCCCGGCGCACCGGGATACATAATCAGACACCATTCTTGAGTTGCTAGGTCTATTAGAGTGGAAGATAGGATGATAAGAAAGATATAAATTCGTCTATCATACTGGTTATCTTTTATCTTTTCAGCACAATCCCATCCAATATATCGAGTTATAGCACTAGCTTAACATTGGAACAGTTTCACATCCCAACGAGGTCGATTTTTCAAAGATCCAAGTTTAAGCCATGCTTACCTTCTGTTATTAGGTCGTTCGTTTTTGTGCCTCCGAGGTAGGGCTTTTCGATAATGTCCGTCCAACGCTTACACTGAATTTGATATGGCGTTGAGTGCTATACGATCCCCAACCAATTACAGTATTGTACAACTGTATGGGCTTTTAAAATCACTTGTGTGTAGTTATTCAAATTTATTTTCTAATTCCTCCTCAGCTGAGAGGTGGTTAATTAAACAGTTGCTCATACGAGGTCCGCTATAGAGCCCAAACAGCGTTCATCTCAGCAAAGTTCTTACAACATAAAGCTTACTTGCCTTTCTAGTTCTCGTCTCCTTCGTCTCATGTATATCTGGGGCTTCGCATCGCACCTGGAATTTTTTTGATCAAATTATCCAGAGAAGAGATGTTGGTCAGTCAGTGATAATTCTGTACTGCGATTTTAGTAAGGCATTCGACAGTGTCTCACAAAAACTTCTTCTAAAACTCTCTTCATTCGGCATACATAATCCCCTTTTATCTTGGCTCAAATCTTTTTTAGAAGAACATAGCCAAATCGTGCGCTTTAGATCTTGCTACTCTAAACCTGTGAATGTAACCAGTGAGTTTATACAAGGAAGTGTGATTGGTTCATTACTCTTCCTCATTTTTATCAATGACGTGTGTTCCCTCTTTCAGTATGGTAAACTGTGGTGTTTGAATGAACTAATGATTGCTTTGTACTTGTTGAATGTTTGATTTCGAATTCTAAATACAGTACATCCGTTAGTGCTTGTGTAGTACTTCTTGATTCAATTGCGTTACCCCTGGGATTCTTAGTTCATACTATAATTCAATTACTTCTTATTATCATATAAACCTATCCTTTTTTCCGATGACCTAATAGTGGTTCATTCATTCTCTTCTATAACCAAGGAGAGCTATATTTCAGCGGTAATCCAAAAAGAAATCAACAAGTTGTACGAATGGACTGTTTCGTGGAATTTGCCACTTAATGTTGACAAGAGTGGATTTATTCGCATCGGCCGCTGCCTTAACATAAATCTGGCCATACACAAACATACACTGAAACCTCTCAACACTGTTCGTGACTTGGGTTTGATATATAGCAACAGTTTGAAATTTTCCTAGCACATCGCATCTGAAGAATCCAAAGCTAGAATGCTCATCGGATTCATAATGACAAACTTCAATAATACTGAATCAGATTATTATTATACAGAAAATGTATCTTACCCATTCTTGAGTATTATATTTTAGTTTACAATAATTGCAGGCATAAAGGCCTGATTAAAATTAAAGGTGTTCAAAGAAGGTTCTCTAAAGTTGCTTTAGGGTATTCCAACAACAAGAACTATCACCAAAGATGTCAACAACTTAAATTGGTATCTCTCTGGATCAGGCGTACCAAATTAATCCTTGTCTTTATCTACCGGTTTATTAACGGTATTTCCTACTCTTCGGTATCCACCCCTTCATACTTTATGATATCATCCCACAATCTATGCAATAAGAAAAATATTCTAGCGATTCCAAGAACCTACATAAAATTACGCCAGAATTTTTTCGTTTTTCGCTACTCAACCATGTGGAACAGACTACAAGTGAACCTCCGTTGCAGTGACACTACAACTTGGTTCACAAGTCTCCTTGAGAATTTTTTTTCAAAAATGGATTGTGTCACCTACTGAATATTAATGTGTTTAATAGTGATTTATACAAACAAGGTCCTTCATCTATCGAATTGACTGAAAAGCATAGTGCAACCTTTTAAACTTTTAACGTCTATTTTATTTTATTTTTATACATCGTAATATATGAAGTCTGCTTATGTTCGTATTTATAATCGTTACTGTTATTAATATCATTATTGGTTCCTCGACACATTAGATATTCTTTTCATCCCTTCTTGCCCTTCTAAATATATTTCATTCCTAAACATCCAAAGTCTATAACTAAAAACGAAGAAAATTATCCTATGTTACAATTAAACAAACTAACTTCTCAGATTAATTTTATCTTCACCACATACATATATAACACATAGAAATTAATATTTGATCATCCCTCGTAATTTGTTGTGACTTTCATAGCATCATTCTAAATTATTACTGCACAAATGTTTATACTAATATCCGGTTTTACATAAATCTACATGTATTCATCCGAATGCAATGAAAAGTTTTTTTAACTTCAGAGGTTGATATTCATTGCGCTATTATTACCAGGCCTTCATTGGCTTTCCCATAAAAATACACCTGACATTAATTTATAATGCATGTACATAACACTTTTCAGATTGGAAGTCTGATCAGCCCTAATGGGTTGGTGTCTGACGAAATCTCAGCATGGATTCGAAAAGCTCGTTTGGCCTTTGTCAACTTACGTCATCTATGGCGCAGGCGAGATATCCGTCTATCAATTAAGGGACGAGTATACTGCGCGGCAGTTCGTTCCGTTCTACTATACGGCTGTGAAACATGGCCTTTGAGAGTAGAAGATATTCGTAAGTTACTAGTATTTGACCACAGGTGCCTTAGAAATATTGCGGGTATCTGCTGCGATCACCGGGTAAGTAATAGTGAGGTTAGACGCAGGGTATTAGGGAATGATGGTAAATCAGTTGATGAGGTTATGAATCTTTATCGACTGAGATGGTTAGGCCACGTTCTGCGTATGCCTGAACACCGATTACCACGACGCGCAATGCTAACCGGTGTTAGGGATGGTTGGAAGAAAGTTAGGGGTGGCCAAACCAAAACGTGGCATCAGTGCTTGAAGTCACTAACTTCTGGTCTGAGCCATGTTGGAAGATTCAGACTGCCTGGTTGGGGTCCGCGTGACTATCGTAACCAATGTTTGGAGACTCATGGTGACATGGCTCAGAATCGATCACAAAGGCGTCGGTGTATACACTCTCTGTCTTCCTTAAATTAAGAGATTAAAATCGCTTCATATCTTTCTAGGAACTAATTCTTTCTTCCTGTACTATCTCCTTATACACAATCTTTCTTCTATATATTACCACCACTGAATTAACTACTTCTATGAATCCGGTGTTCATCTTGTTGTGCTAATGCGGTATGGCAACTTGGACCGATGCATGTATGTGCCTGGTCCTACGTTGCAGCTGACTGACTGACACTTTTCAGATCAACTTCATCCTTTCACTAATGTACCAAAATTCATAAAATGGACCAATTGCTTGAAATAAATTTCTGCATTACCTACCAACGATTTTAGAAGTGATATTTAATTAACCCTGTAATGAGAAATCGCGGCGTATTTGTTATTAAAATCTGATAAAACAACCATGTATCGCTTTTAGTTCGGAATTACTCAATATCCTCATTATGCTATCTATACTGGATCATGTAAACCATTTCACATTCATAGAGATATGCAAAACAGATAATAATTACCGTTCACCGAATTCCATATAAATTGAGGAAATAAAACAAACACCGTTAGTAATGTTATTGGTGTACTTTTGGGGATGAAGCTTCTACATTGCGCTATCATGTCCTGGTTTACTTTTGCACTTTTCTCTCAGTAAATAAATCAGATCACTTCGATCATGGATCATCTTTGTAAGATAAATTTGACCCTGAAAAACAAAGTGAAATCATTTAACTCAGATGCTGTAACATTAGGAATCTTCTATAGATAATGATATAACTTTTATGAAATTAGCATCATATTTTACTGTTTTCTAAATTAGTAAGCTAGAGTACCTTCCTTCACAAATGATGTAAGCTTCAGGACCTTTGAAAATCACCCTCAAAAATCTGTCTTCTAGCTAACTGATCTGTTTTTATGTAAGTCAGAAATTTACACGGAATCAAAACCAGCGCTTTCCGGTCTCGTGGGAGATACAGTCTCCTTAAACTAAAGAGTACGTATTCAGTAATATACATTTTTCATCTGAAAAACGTGTGATAAGACAATCTTCATCTAATATTTAAACTCACTATCAATTTAGATGACTCTACATCCGAAGGTTTCTTCCTAGAACTTCCTAGAATTTTGTCCGAAAATTCTTCGCTGTTGTGCACTATTATCAGTTCTTTGTTCTGATTATCTTTAGCTCATGCGAACATTTCTTAACATAGTAAATTATTACCACCATGATCATTTGTAAGCACATATAAATCATTTAAGCATTAGTATTAAAGGTGAATGAGAGTGAGACGCTTCCTATAGAATCATGTTTTGTTAGATCTGGTGACTAAGAATTCAAAACAACACGTAAAAAGAAGTCATTCTAGTGCGTTAGAGTAAGAATTTCGGAGTTTTTAACATTAAGAAAAACAAATTAATGGAGTTTCGAAGTCAATTTATTCTAGGCTGATGCCTATGCAAAATGGAAGATTCCACCTTTTGACCTAATGAAAGAGCGAATTTTATCACTAAACTTTGAAGGTAATCAGAGTGAGAGTGTTTGAAGCAGTTAGATCATATATATATATATATATATATATATATATATATATATATATATATATATATATATATATATATATATATATATAAAGTTCCATTTTTTTCATCGATTGAGATCATGAGTCAGTTGAAGCTTGACCACCATTGAAAACCTGGAAGCACTGGATGGCCCTTTCGTCCTATTGTGGGACTCCTCAGCAGTGCGCATCCACGACCTCAGCCCCTGCGAGATTCGAACACAGAACCAATCAGTCTCGCGCGCGAGCTCTTAACCACTAGCATCCAGTAGTGTTAATGTTTAACTTCAACTAATCCACGAAATTGAGCGACACATCCACCATTGTCTTCAGTGAGTTACTATCTTGCAACAGACCTGATTGAACTCCACTGGTCACTACTTCTCACTAGAACTCCAGGATATACCTTTGGAAGCCAGTCACTAGACAGCATATGTTGATTAATATCAGAAGGGGTATTGTGGATATTATAGTAATTTCAATCTTTTTTTTGTTTAAAATGAAAATCAATTATTATTGTAAATTTATAACTTTTTGAAACAAACACATCTAGACGTCTTTGATCTACTCCGAAAATGAAATTATAGCAATTTCAATAATAAGATTTATCTTATGAATTAATAACATACGTTGAATGTCAAAGTATAATTAAACTTCTTCTTCAGTTGTTTGGCAGTAGACTCAATCAGTTTCTCCAACTTGTTAAATTTCTATTAAATATATATATATATATATATATATATATATATATATATATATTTAAATAAAGATTTGAGAGATTTAATTCATTAAAAATGCTTACCAGAATATTTTACATTATAACAATACTGGAAATACAATTCTGTCATGTATTACACTCCATAAGCATTAAATAAACGACGATTCAATAGACGCAGGTGAAATAAAATAAGTCATGAATGACTTGGCGACTTCAAGTTCAACTATAGTTTATTTAGTGATGTTAACAGTGTATCAACACATAATGAGATTATTTATTTTTGGTCCAAACTACTAATGATTTTCATTGAAACCCTGAGACAATCTAAGTTAGACAACCAGGTTTGCAATGATGTTCTAACTCAGATCAGTTTAGGATTTCAATGAAATTTAACAATCTCCACACAGCGATCTTATAATTATTCATCATTTGTTTACAAAGTTCTTTCTCATCTAACAGAAATGATTCTTAAATTCTTTTGACCAATATTTTCTGATAGTCTAGCTTAATATTTTATGGTTTGCTTCAATGATGCAAGAGCAGTTATCAGCTGACCATGTTATACTGTAGTGAACAGAACACTAGTGAGACAACAAATTACAGAACTAGTTAGTAAAATCCAACAACCATATATTAAATCGTTACTTTGCCAGGGAAGTCCTACTCACTGCCTTCTCGTGGCATTACTATTGTTTACGAAAATCAGAAGACGAAAAGCGAATGTCCGGCGCTTTAACCGGATTCCAAACCAATGATGCACATGGGCTCCAGTATCCTGAAGGAACAAATGGCGTATGAACCAATCGTTGGTCACCGGCTACCATGGGACTGCATCTCCTTACGATGCTCCACTGCCTTGTGGATCAGACGTTCAGGTCGAAGGCTCGGGGTGTGGCCCCCTAAGAAAACCACCTGCTTCGGTTTGGGCACCCGGGTAGTATCACAGCCCTTACACAAATCAATTGAGATTCGTGTGGCGCATATATATTTGGTGCCTCCTTGTACCAATATCTATGTGTTAAAATAAAAATAATAAAAAAATAATTATGTGACTATAAATATCAATTACTGTTTGATTAAATAGAAGTTGGCTCATTTGCCTTCTCCACTGCACGTGATTTCGTTTCACTCTCTACTATTCACTTCATTCCTTGACTGCCTGGTCAAATCATTAAGTGCATGAAATATATATATATATATATATATATATATATATATATATATATATATATATATATATATCGATTCTCATATTTGGCTTATTTAATCCCATTATTCACTAACGCGATCTAAGAATAGGCAACATACGATCTTAATTGGAATCTGATATAGGGGTCACTGAACATTAATTGATTAATATAAATATATAATTTCAATAAAGAAAAATCAATAATAATAATAATAATACTAATATTTACCTTATCAATTTTATAACGTTCTTCTGAACATTTCAATTGTAAATGATTATCATCTAATATAATAATGAAATATTCAATGAATAACTTATTTAATTAATATCATTTATTGAATCATTTCTAAAGAGTAAAAATTTTGTAGAATTACAAATATTCTATGATATCACAATTAGACAATATGATGGTAATGAATAGTTTATTATTGCAAAAGAATTTATTTATTAACTTATCATTAAATAGATTGGAATATTTTAGAACTATCTTATTTGATTTCATTCATTCATTCAGTCAGTCAGCAGCAACGTAGGACCAGACACATATATGCATCGGTCCAAGTTGCCATACCGCATTAGCACAACAAGATAATTTGATTTTATTGAGCTGTTTATTTCTATATTTAATGATCAGATGATCTTATCGTTTAATGATAATAATACAGTAGTGATCTAGAACACCGATGCGGACAACCGAATGTACTTAATAATAGTTTACAGGACTAGTTAGTAAAATCTAACAACCATATATTAAATGCTCAATTTGCAAAATGTCCATCAATTGTCTCAAATGACTCAGACTTCCTTTGTTCTTGCATTTTCATACAAACTGAATTCTGTTTTAATTCTTTACTGTTCGATCTTCTTGTCTCTCTGCTGCCAGACATTCTGTTCATGACTAACGTCATATACTACTTATGTCTACATAAGTAGCACACACCACATTATGAATATAGTTATTACGATGCCTACAATATAACTTTATGTTATTAGGTTTAGGTTTCATGGTGAATCATGAGTATGTTTTGTTGATAAATAATAAAGCTTATAATAAAACATTTAATTTAAAACGATCAAGTGAACTAAAAGAACGAATAGGATAGAGTGATTCTGGTGGAGTTTTGTTCTATGAGCTGGATGATTGAGTCATGAAGCTTTCATCATTCTTCTGAACGACATCACCAGCACAAACTTCAGGTAGAAGTGAAGTGTTAGAATTTCTCTACATGTGGTTCACAGCTTGTCCTGTAAACCTCGATGTTGATTGTTTCTTGTTGACAATATCGAGGATTACAGGACAAGCTGTGAACCACATGTAGAGAAATTCTAACACTTCACTTCTACCTGAAGTTTGTGCTGGTGATGTCGTTCAGAAGAATGATGAAAGCTTCTTGACTCAATCATCTAGCTCAGAGAACAAAACCCCACCAAAATCATCCACCTGAGTTAAAAATTTTCTCCATTATCTCAGGATAAATTGCGAATGAAATCTTACGATTACGAGTTAGATAAATAATAAAATCATCTGTGGTGTTGCTACTCAATTTGAATTCTGACTAACAGTTGGTAAATTTATTATCTAACAATATATCTTTTTTAGGTTGTCCTTATTGTTTTTCCAACCTAATATCGAGTTAACTAGCATAGTGTTGGGTCAGACGGTTAACTTATATGTGAAACACATGTCCTAGCTACTATGGTCGATGAAGTGCAAAAAATGTATCAAGAAAAATTAGGACTGGCTAAATTACAATTTTTACACTTTAATAGTTCGCGTCATATACAAAACGTTAAAGGGTTTATGGGAACAGAAAACTTTTAATTAAGATCTTCTTCATGGCATAACCTTAATGATAAGCTATAGTGTTAAAATTGCAACACTTCACAAAGAAACCTGAAGTTGTATATGTTTGAAAGGGATTCTACAGTATATTATCAATATCGTGTTGAAAGAAATACACATAACTTAGAGCTATTCGTTTGAGAATAAATAAATGATACAGATTTACGAAAAACCTAACTGTAATTTCGAAAAGAGGTAACATTTAAATCTCTGGGGATTCTATCGATGATTAAACTAACAAGATGTTAAAAGAACAAGTAGCAGTGTTTTTACGTTAACCAACGGAATTACCAAAACATTTAACAGATATATACATATATCAATATAGTTGCATTTATTAGGCTTTTGAAGAAGAGCGCAGTGAACAGTTAATTATCACAAATATTAATGAAATATATATCATTTTCATATAATATCGGAATGAGAAAAGTGAAATTCTAGAAACTCTAAGAGCAAAACTAATTGCTGAGAAATACTTTTTGATTATGAAAGCTGGTTGAAATAGGTAGCAAATAATCACACTTCTAGAATGTAATTCTTATTATGATATAACACAGTATCCGCTGAGTCAAGTATGGTTAAACGTTGTCAGTCATTGACATTAGCCATACCATATTTTCAACTGATCGGATTTAAACTGAATAAATTTTAAATAAATCAGTTAAAAGTGAATATTAGTTCAAAATTGAGGATATATATTACTGAGAAGTACTTTATAGAAATGAAATATCTATCTAGTGATTGTCGAATTCCTGTGGTTACATTGTAGTGAACAGAAAAACAAGTAGGGACAATCGAATGTATTTGTCACAAAATTACAGAGCATCTCAATAAAATCTGAGAACTATATAGTAAATAGTTAATTTGCAAAATATCAATCCATCATTTCAAACTTGACTGTTCCTATTGCAAACATCAATCCATTGTATCAGATTTTATTGTTCATACGTTTTCATACCAATAGCGTTGCGTTCTCGTTCTTTCCTCATCGACCTTCTACTGAAAAACGTTCTATACCTAACCACCGCTACACATTACTTGTGTGAATATAAGTAGCCCATACCACAACATCAGTTAATGTAAAATTTTATTTCAGATTCTTATTCTATATTTATCTTATTTAAAAGAGTTGGTTCGATACTTTGACATGGTGAGGTTAAATGAATGACACTACTCGGATCTTGTATGCGTGTTTCGGGTACGCAGCACACATCGATGGAGCGAGATTCTAAAGTCCTAGCTAAGGATGCCTGTTGTCTTATTTGGCACAGTGTTCGGACGTTGAAAGCTCCTACGTGTAGTTTAGAGCGTGGTTTAAGGAGACAAGAAATAACGTTCCGCGTACTCGAATCGTTTTCACTAGCGGAGCGAGGTGATAAAAGGACGTAAGAAGGGTTAGTCGTGGAGATAAGATAGTTATTAGGAGGTGTAGGAAGGATTTGAATGTGACCAACTTGGTCTCGTGTGCTGTTACGGGTATGAGGGCTGATATCACTTCCCGGTTGCCCACATCGTGGAAGGGTATTTCTTGAGGAACCTGAAAAGGAAATCATATTAGTGTTGGTCTTAAAGACCTGAGTGCGTGACCGCAGAGCCCAAGGGACAACTGGTTGAGGCCGGTCGCGCACCGATTTTTCGTGGGAGGTTTTTATAATGTGTTAGCTCCATACCGTCGGAGACGGAAATCCGTTAGGTAAGGTGAGGTGTGACATTTTTAGGGTCAACCTTTTCTTACCCCTTCCTTCCTTGTGAGAAGGCAGCATCGCTACAGATGCTGGTTGTCCAAGGGAAACACCTTACTGCTGTCACACCTCTGTACAGTCAGCAATACGACTTCGCCCTCAGACCTTGAGTTATTGCTTTTAATCTTACCGTTCTCCAATCAACCTGTCTGGTATGGTAGAACCTGCAGGAACATATATTCCAGCCAATATAACTCGGTTGAATCATCACGATAGGCAAGCCGAACCACACCACATTAAGGTAGCAACTATGGTCGGGACATTTAAAAGAACCAACTACAGATATAAAACCATGAAACAAAACAAAATCAAAAAAGAAATAAACAAAATTTAAATTTAAAAAAACTTTTATCCAATTTTACTTATGATATATATTTTAATTGATACTTACTTAAATTATAATCTTTTAATTGATTTAAATAGTCAATTTCTAGTTTTGCTAATTTATGTAATAACATTTCACGATGTTCAATACAATCTGTTGCATATTCTAATAATTGTAATGCATTATTTATATTGATCATATAATTAGTATCATTAATATGTTGACAACATAATTTTAATAAACAATCTTGTTTTTCACTTTCAGTAAATTTTAATTTATTCCATATTATAAAAAATCGTTGTTGAATTGTATTGTTTACATGGTTTAACTGATGATTATGCTATAAAGAATAGATAAAATATAATGAATGTTAATAAAAGGGTTATTTTTAAAACCAAAAAAAAAAAAAATAAATAAAAATAAAAAATAGTAAAACCATATGTTTATTTTTATAAATGAATTAGTTTATAATACTTCTGTGGCATAGAAACAATATATTGATTATTGTTGATAAACTATCATATTGAAATTGTATTTTGTATAATAGATTTATTGGTTAAAGAGAAAAAGATAGAAGTTCTAAATAGAGGTTATAAAGTGTTAAGAAGCTATCAGTATACAACAATTATCAATAGTTGAACTTTTAATATAGACTTATCGGATTGGTATAACTCCGCCTGGAGTCCCTCCGGGGGCTACTGCCGGTCCCAAGCTCGGATAAAGGAGGAGGTTCAGGCATGCGGTTAGCGACCCCATCCCGTAAAAAACTAACTCGCTAAAAAACGCTAACCAGAAAAATTACTCATCAGATTGATATGTTTCAAAGAGAATAAAAACTGAATACTGAATCTTAACTTTTTATAGTAAGCAATGCTGGTTAGTAGCTAGCAGTGGAATCCAGGACACACGTTTCGTCCTATTTGGGACGAATTTAAATTTAATTTCACCCCATCGCACAAGCAAGTGGCTATCAGGATTCAGTAGCAAAGTGGATAACGCGATGGCATTTGAAGCGAATGGTACTGGGTTCGAGTCCCAGAGTGATGCAGGTACATTCATCTGATGAGTCCAGTACCATTCGCTTCAAATGCCATCGCGTTATCCACTTAGCTACTGAATCCTGATAGGTACTTGCTTGTGCAATGGGGTGAATTTAAATTTAAATTCGTCCCAAATAGGACGAAACGTGTGTCCTGGATTCCACTGCTAGCCACTATCCATCATTGCTTACTTCAAAAAGCTTATGAATTAAGGCAATATCGAGGCATACGCACAGTATGCACATATGCCAATAACAGACTGAACACTTTCAGTCCTAAACATCAATGGGAAGATTCAAATCAAAAAATATCACGTGAATTATTCAGTATTTTTTTTAATCTTTAAAAAATCTGTTGTATGATTACAAGTGATATTATATTCAATTCATAAAGGAAAAATTCACAAACACATACTATATAAGTAAATAATACAATATTTGTACTCATAATTGATTGATCACTGGGTGGTGATCAATGTCATGTGTGTCAAGTTATTATTAGTGTAGATCGAATGCTATCGACCAAGGATTTGATACATATGATATTGATCACCAACCAGTGATCAATCAATTGTGATTACATCTCAGTCCTATAGGAGGTCGGTCACGGCCCGGATAGCTCGGTGGTAACGTCTCTGACTGTGAAGCTTGGTGACACAGGATCTAATCCGTCAAGGAGCATCAGTTCCCTCAAGATTACAGGTTCACCTTGCTGAAGAGTGCAAAGTAGTACGAAACCTGGGTCCAGGGTTTCCTGTCAGCTACCTCCAACCATCATCTAATCTCACAATATTTGTACATTTACAAGTACAGAGTCAAATGTCTTGACTTGTAAATAAAGTCACTTTAGTTTGTTCTATATTTTATTAGGTTTAGTTGTTATCATTAAACGTTTAATGTTATTGAGATAGTGGAGAAGATTTGTAGCTCAGGTGGACGATTCCGATGGAGTTTTGTTCTCTGAGCTGGATGGTTCGGTCGACCTAACCAATATCAAATACAAAAATAATTGACGATGTATTGTATATTTGATAAAGTATTTCACATTCACTCAGAACCAATTAGACGATTTGGACTTCGGAGATGACTTATCCTTCCCTATCGCATACACACGAATAAATGCAGATAAAGGTAGCCAGTGTAGCAGCAGTCTCTGCATCAGTAGGCCTCAACACACACAAGCGGAAAACCAAGGTCCTCAAATACAACATGGAGAACACCAACCCAATTACACTTGGTGGCGAAACTCTGGAAGATATGGAATCCTTCACATACCTGCGAAGCATCATCGATGAACAATGAGGATCAGATGCAGACTTAAAGGCGAGGATTGGCAAAGCAAGGACTGCATTCCTACAGTTGAAGAAATATAAAACTCAAAGCACCTATCAACCAATATCAAACTCAGAATCTTCAATACGAACGTCAAGGCAGTTCTCCTGTACGGAGCTGAAACATGGAGAACTACAACAACCACCATTAAGAAGGTACAAGTATTTATCAATAGCTGTCTATGCAAAATACTCAACATCCATTAGCCGGATACCATCAGCAACAGCCTTCTGTGGGAGAGAACAAACCAACTTCCATATGAAGAGGAAATTAAGAAAGGACGATGGAAATTGATAGGACATACATTGAGGAAATCATCAAACTGCATCACGAGGCAAGCCCTAATTTGCAATCCTGAAGGGAAGCGAAAAACAGGAAGGCCAAAGAGAACATTACGTCGAGAAATAGAAGCAGATATGAAAAGGATAGATAACAACTGGAAAGGGTTGCCCAGGACGGGGTTGAATGGAGAATGGTGAGCAGCTTATGCTCCTTCACGAAGAGTAACAGGCATAAGTAAGTAGGTAAGTAAGTAACTTCACATTCAATAATGAATTTATTGAAATTAAATGAATAACCTTGTTTATGAATAAATATGACATACCATTTCTTTGCCAGTTTTGTAAATACTACAAACTGGTGAAGTATTAACTAAATTCATCAAATTAAGTTTGAGCAAATTGATTTTTTCTTTACAATTGTTTAACAACTCATAGTCACCTGAATACAAAAAGTAGGCAATGATTTACTATAGTTAAGTCATACTATGGATAAAGACAAATATATTATTATTATTATCATTAATGTTTAATGTCAATCGATCCATGAGGAGCCGTGACCAGTGGAGTCCGATCTGTGTCTAGTGCAGACAGTTATCCACCTCAGACAATGGATGAACGGTTTATCATGAATCAATTAAAGTTAAGTATTAACACCGTTGGATGTCGGTGAACTCAGTGGTCTAGAGGTTAAGCGTTTGCTCACAAAACCAAAGGTCCTAAATCCGAATCCTGTGCGCGGGATAGTGGACGCGCACTGCTGAGAAGTCCCATACTGGGACGAAACGACCATCCAGTGTTTCCAGGTTTCCAATAGTGGTCTAGCTTATATCGAGTTATGAATTCTAAAGGATACAGAAGCCTGGAAATATTTTGTAAATTCTTATCTCATGATAAGGTAAAGTTCAAAATGTCACAACTAATTGAATTCCATTTTTTCTAAATGCTTTATATTACGAATCGACATCACTTGTAGAACATTTAAAGGTCAGATAGTAATACACCGAAAACATTCCACCACCGTTGGGTACATCTCAGCAATGTGGATTTATGACGCCGAAAAATATCAACTCAGAGAGACTTCAGTTTATTTGTTGAGGACAGGAACATTTAAGCCATTTATCTAAAAATCATCTAATCAAACAATGATTCATTTTTCATTAACAAACCAGCTTTGAATTGATTTTTCTGAAAGTTTATCTAAAATACATAATGCGTAAAGTAAACTAAGTCTTAATCGAAATAGTTTCTCTTCGTTGACAATTGATGACATTTACCTCATTGTACGAACTCACATCAATCAAATGTGTATCGCTGAATTTCAGATCAATTTTTGAGTAGTATCTTGATCAATGTAAGTGGATTCTAACCTTTTTGACGTTGCCGGTTTTTCACTATAGATAGATCATATACTAAAAAAAAATAACAGATGGATATTTCATAAAAGGTTTGTTGGATATTTTTGTTTGTTGAACAGCTGTAGAATCGTGGACCCGCGTCCTTTTTGTTTGTCAATCGTTTACTAGAAATAGTTGTGACCCAATGCTAATGTTCACACAGAAACTCAAATCTAGTACATATACTATCAAACACAAACGTATTTTTCATTAACCTGTTGACTCAACATAGCCAATATCTTGTTCATTGCGTATAAAGTTATTCTCAAGGGTTTACATTTGTCTTATCTTCATACTCTTATCTTAACTACAGACAATAAGGAGATACCCGCTGAGGGTCATTAAATGCCGTCTTAAGTATCAACAACTGAAAAATAAAAAAATTCTTACAAGTAGTTTATCAAGTAGTTTCATTAAATAAACTTATATTTCCATATTATGAAGTCAATAAAATATTAAAAAGTTTTCCCCTGGATCATCCAGTTGACCGAGTATGCATTTGTATCGTAGTGGAGAATAATGTATCTCTGTGAAATTACTGGCAATCTCTGGCTGAATTTGAATCTCAGATTATTATTATTATTATAATAAAATCACCGATTGTAATGATTTCATAGTATTATTTTGACTATATAACTGACTAATATGTAGTGGTTGTTTGAATCTTCTCATCAATGATTACAACTGTAATAGATCAGTCACTTTTTAACATAAGTAAATCATGTGTGAATTGACTCGATATTCCCAGTAAGTCATGGATATTTTAACCAGTCCTAAACATCAATGGGAAGATGCAAACAACCAGTATATATGAATTAAAATCCACTCAATATCAATAGCCAATGGCTAAATGGACTTAATAGCTAAGTGGATAATGTGCTGTCTCTGGAAGCTAACAGCACTTGGTTCGAGTCCCAAAGTGAACATCAACTCTAGGATCTATGTACATCCAGTTGACCAGTTTCGAATAGGATGAAACACCCATCCTGGTTTTCACTGCTACTTCCATCCATCTCGGTTTAACTGACTGTTATGCGGTAATTGATTAACGTTATGATGATTATTACTGAATAGTACGTGAAATAAAAAGTACAAACTTAACATTTAGCAACATATTTTTATTTTCAAAACAGAAATGATCTGAATAATCAATATTAAAAATTACATATGTAAATTTACAACTTATTTGTTCACTTACTACTGTCATTATTAACTATAATATCATTGCCTGTATTCCACAATGCCACTTCATTGGACTTATATTGACATATTATTAACTTTTGTTTTAACCTAAAGAACATATATACAATACAACTTACAGAAAAAACACTTTTTAAAAAAACATTGTGTATGGCTAAAATTGAGGAATGAAAAATTTAATTACCTATGGTTAGAAGTAGTTGACAAATATTTGTTTGAATGAATTGTTAATTTTAGAAGGGGTTTTGTGGAGATTGTAGTAATTTCAATGGTTAAGATCATGTATCAGTTGAAGCTAGTCCACCATAGAAAACCTGAAAGCATTGGAAGGCCATTTCGTCCTATTGATGGACTCCTCGACAGTGCGCATCCACGACCTCAGCCCCTGCGAGATTCGAACCCAAAACCCATCAGTCTCGCGCGCGAGCTCTTAACCACTAGCATCCAGTAGTGTTAATGTTTGACTTCAACTAATCCACGAAATTAAGCGACACATCCACCATTGTCTTCAGTGAGTTACTATCTCACAACAGACCTGATTGAACTCCACTGGTCACTACTTCTCGCTAATTAATTATAGACAATCAACAAAAAACTAAACAAAACTCAAAGCTACAGATGAATTGTTTGTCTCATGTATGTATTAGAAAGCACCCCATTCAAGTCCACATCATTTGGACTATTGTAAACAAAACACTATATTATAGCATTATGCCATGTATTGAAGTATACAAACATAGATAAATAGAATACATGAAACGTTATTATTACTATGATCAATTAGTATTAATAAAATCTCTAAGATATTATAGGTAATAATACCGAAGCTTGACTTGATAAGTTCAAATAAATTGGGTATTGGGTTGAATGTTATTAATAAAACAATTATTTATTTTTAAATAAATTAATATATTTTTAATATCCCAATGAGTAAAAAGAAATTAGATTTTTTGACGTTTCGTGACTTAGTGTAAACCACTTCTTCAGAGAATGAATAAACCAAAATAGAAAAAAAACAGGTCTGATATCACAATTTGTAGAAATGAAAATTTTTGATATTCTGTGACTCAATGTAAACCATTTCTTCAGAGCAAATAAATAAATAACATCTGTAATCTAGTCCTTCACCTTAGCTTTGAATGAATCACGTTAAAGAAATATGAACTACAGTTACTTATATCAGTAGTTAAGTAATCAGTGTTTATCTAGTTAAATTTTTCAGAATCTAATTTCACTTTTCAAATACAAAAAGTGATCCATTTTATATTTTAAAGAAAGATGATATCAATATTTTTTGTAACTTAAAACTGTACACGTTGTAAATGATTCCATTCGATTAGTTTTTTATCGGTATGATAAATTAATATTTGATTGAGATCATGAACCGATCGACGTTAGACCACCATTGAAAATCTGAAAGCACTGAATGGCCGTTTCGTCCTATTGTGGAACACCTCAGCAGTGCGCATCCACGATCCCGCTAGCGGTACTCAAACCCAGGGCCTTCAGTCTCGTACACGAACGCTTAACCTGCTGGACCACTGAGCCGGCATCCAATGGTGTTAATGTTTAACCTCAACCAATCCACGAAGTTGCGCGACCATTTTCAATTGTACTGAGGTAGATACCTGTCTCTACCTGACATGGATTAGCTCCACTGGTCACAGCTTCCCACAAGAACTCCGAGAATCCCCTCACGAAGCTAGTCACTAGTGAGCACATGATAATTATCAGTATAGGGGTTGTGGGGATTACTAAAATTTTGACTGAGATACCGGCTCAGTGGTTCAGTAAGTTAAGCGTTCGCGTGCGAGACTGAAGGCCCTGAGTTTGAATCCCGCTAGTGGGATCGTGGATACGCACTGCTGAGGAATCCCACAATAGGACGAAACGGCCGTCCAGTGCTTCCAGGTTTTCAATGGTGGTCTAACATCAATCGGTTCATGATCTCAATCAAAAACTTAATAAACTCCACAATCCCTATACTGAAAATTAATATTTGGTTCATATGGGTAAATTTCTACCGATAAACGCATATGTAAGTAACGTGTATATTGTTGTCAAATTAAAATTAAAGAAACATCAAGTTTAGCATGGTTTATATGATGAATACATATTTGTATACATAATACAATTTTATGTGTAGTAATTTCCTGTTCACGTCTGTAATTGGTTGATGAGAGTAGACAAACAGGCCCCTTTCCAGTATAAATATTCACCTTAAAATTATTTTTCTGATTTGATTGTAAACAATACTTTGTGTATGAACTGTTGATATTTGTGTTAAATGAACTTACTGTACAGTCTATTATCTGCCTCTCAATTGTAGGTCATGAATTGTGTAGTTATTTATTATCAGTTAAGTGAAATGATGTAACAAACAAAAAAGTTTAGATGTAAATAAAAGATGGAAAAGCTTTTCAGTTTAAATGGAATTATACTATTTAATAAATAGGAATTGAAAAAAGAGGTTGATTATGAATACAGTAATTTTGAGTGCTGTTAGAGGTATGAAGGCGGTTATCACCTCCCGGTTGCCCACACCGTAGAAGGGTTCTTCTGGAGGTATCTGGAAAGGAAATTGTATTAGAAGTGGTCTTAGTGACCTGAAAGTGTGACCGCAGTGCCCATGTGAATGATCAAGTATACTTGATTTACTAAAACAAAAGAATAATGCAAAATTAAAAGAGTTGACTGAAAAAATCTCTCTTCTATAATGCTAAGTAAGAGATATTGGGACTTTTGGAGTGTCAATAGGGTTTTTGCACGTCTTGAATATGATGAATTAATAAATGTCAATAATTATTTAATAGAACTGCGGTACTCACTACGAATTGTTCGATGAATATTTAGCGTAAGGTTTTAATAATTTAACTTACAATCAAAATGGGATATTTTTAAACTATAATTCGACAACTTTAAGTAATCAAACTGTATTCATTAACATTCATATAGTGTAGTGTAATTAAACATCTGCTAGATAAAAGTTAATTTCTTTCTTGGTTTTGTAAACTTTTAGTGGTCTGATATCTGACTTCAGTTAGATCGTATGTATGATTATCATCGAAATATACATGTCACCAATCCTTGAATATAATTATCGACTGACCTCGTATTAGTGGATAACGGAATTAAACAAGTCAAATACGAAAATAGATTTTTGAATGTGTATATTTCTTATCATTGCTGATCCAGACAAACGAGCGAAGAGAAGAGAGTGAAGTGAAACAATGTGCGATAGAGAAGGCATGTTAGCAAACTCAGTTTAATCAAGCGTTCATTGATATTTATAGTCAGACTAAAGTAAGTTACAAACATGGGACGAATAGGATAAGAAGTGAACACACATACGCTCATATAAAAAAAAAACAGTCAAGCTTAATAAGCGAATAATTGACAAGGTCAAAATGCAACTAAAGACGAATGAATAAACTGATCAGTCTGAAAGCTACAATAAGCTGTGTGGGCTTAGCATAGCAACCAACATTACACATTATTGATTACATTCAATAAATTATCCATAGTGTAGATTTATACACCTTAACACAATTCAATTCTGAGTTTGTTTTAGAAAAGAAAACAAAATTGACTGACTAGAGATTTTTTGTTTCCTAAAGTATTCACTTACTTATTGAATTTTTGTTCTTCATTTTTTAATTCTGCCAAAATTTTCTCATATTTTTCATTAAAATTGTCAACTGATGTATTTTCAACTTTTTCATTTTGTTTTTTGTATTTATTTACTTCATGAATAAATAATTCATCCAGTTTACTACTTGGCTAAAGTGAATCCATAATAATAATAATAATAAGACGAGTGTTAATTTCAGCAAATGCTGACTTCAAGAGGTATATCCTGAAGTTCTAGTAAGAAGTGGTGATCAGTGGAGTTAAACCAGGTATGTTGTGAGATAGTAACTCACTGAAGACAGTGGTGGATGAGTCGCTCAATTTCGTGGATTAGTTGAAGTTAGACATTAACATCATTGAATGCCGGCTCAGTGGTCTAGTGGTTAAGTGCTCGCGCGCGAGACTGATAGGTTCTGTGTTCGAATCTCGCAAGGGCTGAGGTCCTGGATGCGCACTGCTGAGGAGTTGCACAATAGGATGAAACAGCCGTCCAGTGCTTTTAGGTTTTCCATGGTGGTCTAGTTTCAACTGATACATGATCTTAACCATTGAAATTACTACAATCTCCACAAAACCCTTTTTGGTATTAAATGGAAAATAGATAATAAACTAACTTATGGTAGACTTCATATGATAGATGCCTTGAAAACTTAACTAATGTAACATATAAACAACAAACATGGTAAAAACCTACATTTTAGATACGTTTTATACCTAGATAAAGATTATTCAGTAAGTATAAGTTGCTAATTTTGTTGATTTGGCAGGAGAAATATCAGTAACCATCGATTTATTAGGTTGTATCGCTGATTAATCATTGTTTTTATCTAAAGATTAAATCAACCATATTATCTTGGTTGAATATTATTTACGTAAATTAGGCGCTTGAATGTCTTAATAATTTATGCGATCACTTTAGTATTGGTTTTGGTTCTGGAAATTTGTTAAGTTAGGATTTGGATATCGCTTCCCTGAAGATAACTAATTAACTGTTCATTATCAACCATTCTTGCACAATATTGAGTCGACTGTTCGATTAACACAGTAATCATTGATACAAAATGACAAGAGCTAAGAAATTCTTTACACTTCAACTATTGAGCTACAATTCTAACAGTATACAGAAGTACTCATATTAATCAATTTGGTTGCATGATAATAACTGTACTATAACTAAGTTATATACTTAAAAGAATTGGTGTAATAATTCTATTCATGTGATAAGCATCCCTTATTATTGAAACGAAATATTCATAATATTCATCCAAAACTTTTTGTAAATTACCAGTGTTTTTGTCCTTCGAAACATAGTTTCATCTTCATCAGTATGCAATTTCAAAATTCTGTTAGGTAAAACAAAGAAAAAACGTTACTGAGAGTAGTTTTGTTTAAAATATTTATTTTGTCATTATCTTATTCTTATGATGTGTTAATTGGGTTGATTTATACAAAAGTATCCATCGCTTACATCAACTATTTGATCAGCTAATTACGAAAAAAGTCAAGACAGTTCTACTGTATGGGGCGGAAACCTGGAAAACTACGAAAGCCATCATCCAGAAGATACAAGTGTTCATTAACAGTTGTCTACGCAAAATACTTCGGATCCGTTCGCCGGACATTATTAGCAACAATCTACTGTGGAAGAGAACAAATCAGACCCCAGTGGAGGAAGAAATCAGAAAGAAGCGCTGGAAGTGGATAGAACACACATTGAGGAAAGCACCAAACTGCGTCAGAAGACAAGCCCTCATATGGAATCCTCAAGGTCGAAGGAGGAGAGAAAGACCAAGGAACACATTACGCCGGAAAATAGAGATAGACATGAGAAAAATGAACAAGAATTGGGTGGAATTAGAAAGGAAGGCCCAGGACAGAGTAGGTTGAAGAATGCTGTTCGGCAGCCTATGCTCCATTTGGAGTAACAGGCGTAAGTATGTAATTACGAAAAAACTTCTCGCTCAATGAGATAGAGCTTACATTGTTACCGCAAAAGTATTAACTCTTAAAAAAAAATCTTTAAATTTTAGACATAAATATAAATGAACTTTTGTACTGGAAAATGTTGAAAATTGAATGCTTTTTTTTTGTTTTCAAATTAAATTAGCTAATAAAAATTTGTTATTACTTACGGTAAAATCCATTTTGATTTATCCATTAAAAATGATTGACTAAGATTTGTCAATACAGATTTGGAATTATGATTGAATAATTGACAAGCTGTTTCATAAGTTGGTTTCATGTCTATTTCATCAGGGATTGGTATATCAAAGGATTTAAAATTTTCATTATCCTTAATTTGTATATAGTGATAATTATATATAATTAAAAAAAGAAACAACAACAACAAAAAACATTATCAAAATTAATTGAGAATAAGTCAAAATATTTTAGTTCTATGTTATTTATTATTTATTTATTTAAACACATAAATATTGGTACAGGGGAGCACCAAATATATATGCGCCACACAAAACAATGATAATTTGAAGAGAAGGAGAAAAGAGAAAAAAAAGTAATGAACGTGGGGAATTATAAAAAAAAAGGGAGAGAGAGAGAACGATGGTGGGGGAAACGGAAAGGTACAATCAGAAGAGATCTTTCAGTTAAGGAAGAAGTAACCACTCTTTATGAAGAAAGTAAAAGAAGGTTACAGCAGGATCGCCACTGGCTTCTATTCTGAGTCATATCTGATAACGTCTCTAGCCACTGTGTTACACCGTCTTTCGGTCACCAACCTGGGAGTCGTGAAGGACCAACAGAAGCTAGCCCTTTGCAGCTTTCTTTCATACAACCAGGCAGTGACTCGAGAACGTTTAGATAAAGCTGAATTTTCACCATAGGCGAGCTGCTGTCTGAGTCGAAACGGATACAAAAAGTAGAAATAGGAGATAGTGAATAAACGACGTAGTAAATAATAATAATAATAATAATAATACCAGTCATTTCAATGTTAGTCGGAGAGAAACGAATATTTTCTACAAGCAGATAGTTCATCATAGTTTTAGTGTGTGGGCTGAGATACTGCCCGGGTGCCCAGACCGAAGCAGGTGGTTTTCTTAGGGGGCCACACCCCGAGCCTTTGACCTAAAGGTCTAGTCCACAAGGCAGTGGAGCATCGTAAGGAGATGCAGTCCCATGGAAGCCGGTGACCAAAAGTTGGTTCATACGCCATTTGTTCCCGCAGGATACTGGAGCCCATGTGCACCATAGAATTGCGATCCGGTTATAGCGCCGGACGTTCGCTTTTCGTCCTCTCATTTTTGTAAACAACACCCCCGCCACGAGAAGGCAGTGAGTAGGACTTCCCTGGCAGAGGCTGTATACGCGTGGCCGTGTGAAAGTATTTCGAGAAGGAGGGCGAACCCTCCCCGCTCACGGCCATATCAGGGCATTTGGTACATGTATTTAACAAAAATTGGATTGTTTTTTATTTAGATAATGGTATATCATGAACTGAAATCGTTGACGGTTGAACTTTCATAGATGTTTGTTTGGAAGGTTTATGAATAGTAACTGCATCTAACAATATATTACTATTTGTACAACTGGATATTGGAAGGTTGTTTGCATGATATAATGTAAATACTAGTTATACATTAAACATTGATAATTCAAATAAAAATTGTTACCAAGTGTTTAAACTGGATAATGATTTGTTAGGTCTCAATAAGCATAATAAATGGTAACTTTTGGGATCCATTTATGGACCAATACTATACGTATATTTTTATCGTGTAATTGTTAAATAACTAAACTGTTCATATTCATGCCCCTCTTATTATGAGTTTTATTTTGACCTATGAACCATTATTATACATTTTACCATTCTTGAATTATGTCTTGTCTATTAGTCACTGCCTCCCACATTCACAGCCACATTTGGTCAAATTTTGTACAAATGTTATTTTCTATTTTATGGTACGTTGTGGTCTGTTTGGTTGGTATATAAACCGAGTATGTTTGAAATACATGATTCATATTGCAGAGGCTGAGATTGATGTTCTGAACATAACTGACTGGGTTAGGCGGAAAGCAGGACCTATCAGGACTCTAGGCTGCTTTACAGGTTTTACGCATCCTTGGTCCGATCGACAATTCACTACTCTCTGGTTGGCGGTATTATTACGTTATCCATTAACAGGGCACTCAGGTCACAAGTTATAACATGATTAAACTCATAAGTTGTAAAAAGAAAATAATAGGTTATCATTGTGTAATTAATGATAAGAAACTCAAAATATTTGGTGATTTTATAAAGTTCAGCAAAAGTTTTGAATTTTAAATGATATATATTAACTACAAGTGACTCTGCTTAAGTTATAGATTGAAAGAAATATGAAAATCCCATGTAGAAAGATCATACGGAAAACAATAACTTCATTGGCTAGAAAATAATGATTTTGTTAGTTTCTTCATCTCCATCAATACTATAATATCTCTTAAACAATAATTAAAGATTCACTTGGTGTCGTCTTACTTGTATCTTCCCCCTTTTTATTTAGGACTGTACTTGGTCAGTTTGAGTAGCTAAGTGCATAAGGCGATGGCGTTTAAAGCGAACGGTACTGGGTTCGAGTCCCGGAGTGGACATCAACTCTGGGATGCAAGTACATCCAGCTGACGAGTCCTAAATAGGACGAAACGCGCGTCCTGCATTTCACTGCTAGCTAGTGGTCATCTTTGCTTAATAATTAAAGATATTTAAAAAGGTATTCTTATTTCTGACTAAATCATTCGGAGATTTACCGAAAGCAAGAAAGAAGTTGATAGCTGTTACTACCTACTTATAACTCATCAGAAATGAGCACTCTAACGTGCAAACAGATAATATACCGTCTCAAACCTTCAAATTTATCCCTGGGCATTTTATTATTTTACATTTAATATGGATTCTAATAGTTCACTCCTTTTAAATTCAATTGATGGACGTTGTAAATGTCATTCGACGTTATCGGTGTTAAGTTCTTTTTCATTCTATATCTTTACTTTCTTCTAGTCCGACTTCCTTTTGTATATTCCTCTATACTGTTTGTTATTTTCAGGAAGCCTTTCCATTTCTAATAAATTTTGAGCGTCTAATGTGACTTATCTGTTGTCTTCTGGTATTCTTGATTATTAACATCAGCTGATAATATTCACTTTATTTATGGTTGTAATCAGATATTTTTAATACCTGCTATATACATTTTTAACCCTAGTATATCTGTGACAGTTTCCATACGTTTGTGATTTTCCTCTTCATCTTAACATTATCTGCTACTGAGATTCCGACAGAGCTATTAGCTGTCACATATCACATGTCGATATAAATAACTCTGTATATATATATATATATATATTGGAAAATATTGTTCTTTGATTGTGTAAGAACTCAGTCAATACTTCAGAAATCTCACTAATTAAGGTCTATATTGTATTTTATCTAATTTCATAGCTAAAGCACCGTGTTTGCAGATAATCTTGAATTGTGTATTGCCGGATCTGGCGGTTTACTCGATTATGTGATTGAAGCTTAGATAAGGAAGTAACAATTAGTAAGTATTTGATTTCATTTGATTAGAACAAATTTCCCACTAAATTTCAGTCAGTGATGGAAATTACCTTCAGATAATTTAAATAATCACAAATCATTTAATATTTTGAATATTTAAGAACTCCCATAAGAACTGATTCTATTTACATGAACATGATTCCTCTTTTTTTCATATCACTTAGATTCATTCAGCATAAGGCAGTAAAATAATATTATATTTACGCGACCTGAAGTAATACTTATAGATCTATACTTTGGTGGAATGTCTTAATCCAACAAACTCGAAAATTAATACGTTTTTCACAGTTATTACAGATGCAATGAAAGTACAAATTAAAATTACACAAATGTGAAATATCATATATATATTGTCACTTACACTGCTAAATTTCATCTCATTGAAATCTTTTACAATTGTATTGATAAGATTAGTAAAGATTTCATCATTTTCATCAATAATAGGCAAATTTCTATCCAACTGAATGTTAGTTTCTTCATCAACCTCAATATTATTGTTATATATTTATTGCCAAATAATGTTTTTTCCAGAAAAAGAAAACAAAACAGTTACTTATATTAAAGCATTCACCGGGTAAAATATCATAGATAACTAACAGCATGTCATTCATTGATTAGTATCTGTTAAAGCTGAGCATCAATATAACAACCGAAATAAGTATGAAATACATCAAAAATTATCGTGGTCGAATATTGCCAAATTACTTTAATAAGTTATGTTTCCCAACAACAGATCAATACAGAACGAACTACTGTTCAGTATATTTTCCAATCGATAGGACGATGTATATTTTACTTATTTCGAAAATGGAACAAGTTCACAACAATGTTACAAATCTTTTGCACTCCTTTCAAAATTTCATCAACTACAAATTCATAAGTCTTGCAAATTGAACGCTATACTCGGTTCCTAAGCTATTCTTGTAACCCCCAAGCTAGAACTATACAGCGACCTGAACACGAGAGAGAATATGCAAAGTATGCGAAAGTACTTTACACCAAAGGTTTATTTTAATACGGAAAATATAGGGTTTTTATAATATTTTAAACGTCCTTGGTTTGCTCGAAGATTCTGGTGTGGTGTGGGTTCCTTATATCCACACAAGTAGTATATGACGGTGGTCAGGCATGGAATGTATTTCAGTAGAGGGTCGATAAGAAAGAACGAGAACGGAATGCGATTGGTATGAAAACTTATGAACAATGAAATCTGAGATAATGGATTGATGTTTGCAACAGGAACAGTTCAGTTTGATATGATGGATTAATATTTTGCAAATTAACGATTTAATATACGGTTCTCAGATTTTATTGAGACGCTCTGTAATTTCGTGACACATACATTCGATTGTCCCCATTGGTGTTCTTGTTCACTACACTAGATCGCTACTAAACATAGCAGCAGTATTGCAATCACCCAATCAGAACCTTGATGTTTCTGGCTAAAACTTCAAGTGAACGCTGATTTGATGGAATGCTTCTTAATGTTTCCTGATCCTTGCTTGTCTTTTGCGAAAAAATTTCTGGATCACCTCAACACAAATACAGAAGCGTTTAGATAACTTCAAAGATGAGTGAAGTAGTCAACAATCACAACCACTTCATTCTATATAGTAGCATAAGTTCATATATATATATATATATATATATATATATATATATATATATATATATATATATATATTATATGAGGCAAAGAAGGAAATTGTTCAACTACATTATCATGGGGGAAACTATTATGTTAAGTTTAATAATACTGTATGAGCTACTTAACCACTGGATCAAAATCTGTCGCAAAATACCTCCATTAAACTTATCTTAACACGAATAGATTAAATATTGTTACTATTAGCTGTTTATGTGCACGGAAATAGATTTATTCACATTTCTTTTTTCATTTATCTCTGATCTTCAAAAACTAAAGTTTTAGTGATTGTAGATACTTTGCAATTCGTCTTGTCAAGTAAAGTCTTGAATATATCTTCAAGAGTAGAACCTCAAAAAGATAAGATGAAATTAATGCTTTCGGGACAATGCGTAAATCATTTCGATAATTTTATGTTAAATATGAAATTATGACCAAATGTACACTTGGTCAATACAACTGAATACTGTACTCTAATAACTACCTAATGACTTATTGTTGAGTTGATTTATTGCAAATGACAATGACAGTGCCAAACATTTATTCATGTAAATGTTTACTTGTAGTCCACTAATATACATAGTCAGTCAGTCAACCATTGAATATATATAGAGTAACTTACTTCTTTTGCATATTCATTCCATAATGGACCCATTGTTTGTAGCAAATTTTCGGAGACACAGCATCTGTCAGTAGGCCTTACATCAGGTGTTAGTATAACCTAAAAGAAATCGTCAATTTTTTATTGTTAAGATATAACATTCAATTACATTTTACTAAATCATATATAAAATATTTGAAGAGAGGGTAAACGGTTTCTGTTACAAAGGGTCCTAATCAGGAGAAGTCCTGAAATTCGAGGAGCATCGTAAAACTGTTTCGCCGTTGCACGGTTATAAGTAGAAGTTTAGACCTACAACGTTATATGCGACTGAAACTTTTACTTTCAGTTCTAATGATGAAAAAGACTCCACTTATCCTTTCAAGCCTAAATCTAGTGATCCTTATTTGATAACATCAGTCAGTATCTGATGTAAAATATTTTTCAATCATTCAATTAACAAAGTATTTTGTCTACGCAACAGTAATTCACTTTCCATTCAGAAAAGAAAACCATATTTTTTAAAAGTCATTATCCTACATATTTCATTGAATGAAAATGATACTAATCTATCTTCACACTTTAGTTTCTGTTTACCCATAAAAATTGATCAATGGTAAATTATTTCACTTTATTTTGCTTTGACATATAGAATTTAACGATGTACCATGTAAATTGTGGTTTTACATTTGTCAAAAAGATAATTGTTATGTTTATCATTATTTATATTTGTGTCTAGTTAAGACCATTTCCATGCATTAGTAGAAACATGATATAAAACATCCAAGTATCTTTATTATTAACAAGACTGTTCAGTCATTGGACTTGAGTGCAGTTAGAGGTATGAGGGCGGTTATCACTTCCCGGTCGTCCACACCGTGGAAGGGTTCTTCTGCAGGTACCTGAAAAGGAAATTGGATTAAAGGTGGTCATAGTGACTTGAGAGCGTGACCACAGTGCCCAAGGGACAGCTGCTTGAGGTCGGTCACACATGACCTTTTTATAAGTAGTTTTTGTGGTAGCTCCGTACTTGTTGAGACCTTACCGCCTGAGACGGATATCTGTGGGATAAGGCGAGGTGTGCACTTTTAGGGTTGACCTTTCCTAACCCCACCCCTCCTTGTGGGAAGGCAATATCGCTGTTATGCTGGTTGTCTGAAGGAAACACCTTACTGCTGTCACACCTGTGTACAGCCAGCAGTACGACTTCGCCTTCGGACCTTGGATTTGTTGCTTTTAGTCTTACAGCTCTTCAACCGAGTGTTACATTAAAGCTGACTGGCTAACTAGCTCTCTTTTTTTAATGAGAAAGAAATAGTGAAGCCAATGTCAATTTTCTTCTCAGAGACATTTTGAATCGATATGCCATGGAAATCATCTATTATCGTTTATTAATGATCGTGGATAATTACCTACTAAACTTATTTAAAAATTGTATCTAACTAAGTATAGAATGTGTTGTCGTTTAAACAAATAACTTATCGTTCAATATGATTATAAATTTACAATTATTTGTTTACCGTATTTTCAAATGACTTCGTTAAGAAACTTGGCTGCTGTGATATACTAAGAATAGGTTTAGCTTGAAGTTGATTTAGAAGTATTTCATCAGATAGGTTATGTGATACACCGACCTGAAATGTAAAATATTGTTGAGTAGTTTTTGATAAGTAAATCACTGACTTTCCAAAATTGAATTTTTTAGTAAAGTGAAAATCCAAGAGATAATTTATTGATAACTCATTTCTTTTAGATTAAGCAGAAACAAATGGAGTTAGTGGTATTTAATTAACAATGATGCTAGTGACTTAGGTTTCACAGAGATTTTATCTTTTAAGCTTTTTTTTTAGAATTAAATATCTTAAAGGCTAACACAAAGAAGTTTAAAATCTGCGGTTGAATAAACTTCGATTGCATCTCCTGTAGGACGGTCAACGACTAAAACGCCTTGTTGAAACAAATAGTATCAGTCCCAGTTTTAAAACTGTATCTTCACAGTAACACCTACTACAAGACTAATATTACACAACCGATCTACTAACCTTACGGCTTAAGACAATAAAGCAATCACAATATTATTTCTAGCAAAAATATATGTTAAAAGGCATATAAATAGTAAACAATAGTCCGTCAAACAACATAATCAAACTATTACCTTAACTATAATTTACAGAACAAAGTACTTGATGTTTTTTAACAAAACATACTTCTTTCCCCTAGCAATCAGTCCTACAGAGTCATATCGAAATGACTGGATTTTAGTTGATATACCAAACTTTAATTAGTATGAAAATTCCGATCGCTGCCACTCATTGTAAGTAATGAGAATGTATGATTTAAAACTGACCTACTAAGTAATTAGTAGTAGAAATAGAATCTTTTTCATTCATATCGAATATTTATGGACTTTCAACATTGAATTCTAATCTTATTTACTATTTCTTAAAATAAAATAAAAATCAAAGTATTGACACTAAACGAAATCCTTAAATTTCATAGTTTTATAAAATACCACAGATCCTATTAACCAGTATTGATCAATTATAACCAGTGGAATAAATAAACCCACGAAGGCGGGTGGTTTACAAGTGGATAAATTAAACAAAACTCTATTGCAAGCTTTATTCTTTCCAATAACTATGACGTCTTCCCTCAATCACTCCGACTTGTTTGAGATCTCATTGCACTGTCTTGATGTGCTATAACATAGTAGTAGTGTAGTAAACAGAACACAGGTAAGGACAATCGAAAGCATATAGTAGCATATCACAGAGCATTTCAATAAAATCTGAGAACCATTTATTAAATCGTTAATTTGCAAAATATTAATCCATCATATCAAACTGGACTGTTCCTGTTGCAAACATCAATCCATTGTCTCAGATTTCATTGTTCATGCGTTTTCATACAAATTGCATTGTGTTTCCGCTCTTTGTTTCTTGATTTTCCTCCATCTTCTGCTGCTAGTCATTACGTTCCTAACTCGTTTAATATACTACTTATGTCTACATAAGTAGCACACACCACAGTAGAACTGAAATTGTGTGTAGATTGTGTGGAACATGAATAAGGTCAAATATGGTTGTTTGGATAAACAGCCTAGATTAAATAAATATTCAGGCCTTCCTTCTTATTGAGGACAGAGGGATTTAGCATTATGTGGAACACTTCGGCCACTCGTTTGTCTTTATAGTTGGAGAAACCTTTCTGAATTGTTTTGATATTTTTAATATCAAGTTGGTGATTGCTGAAAATAGCACGTACTACTATTTTTGATTTAACTTGTAAATTTTCCAGTGTTAAAGGATTATTAGGAAGCCTTTTTATGTAACTTACGTGTTCCTTTGCACGAGTCAATATCTCACGGGGGATCTCTTTACTTCATTCTCACATTGTGACGCACAAATTAATGCAGTGACATTTATGTAAATTCATCTAAGCCAAAAATAACTGGAAATTGACATATTCAGACCTATTATGATTTTGATTTTACTAAAAATAATCTTCATTGTTTCCTTTCTACTATTTAAACGTATCTTAGTTCAATGTCGGTTATTTATTTACTCAGAAGAAGTAGCTTACATTAAGCCACTGAACGTCAAAAATACAATTTCCTACTCAATGGGATATAACAAAAATATATTTATAATCAAAAAGATTAGTACAAAAGAAATAAGTTTACGATCATTGTATAGCCTTTAGTCTTAGTCATTTATTTTTGCTAACTTACTTTCTTATTTCGAGATATGTAATGTCTTCATATATTAGTATTTTGATGATTGAATCATCTGTTGGACCTACGTAGTTATACTGTCACATTTAATTATTTTATACACGTAATTGTGTATTTTTTGAAATCTTTTTCATTTGAGTGCATTGGGTCACCATCAACAGTCACAAATCTCATTCTATTTTTAGTATCTTTGTATCTGTCTATTCGGTTCTGTGTCCCACTAATATTTATTGATGTAAACGGTACGTAATGAAACTATTACTCTATTTGCTAATATGTTCCGTTCTTTCTTTTGATAGTTATTCATGTATACATTGGTCTTTGTAAAAATTTAGTTTTCTTCACATACAAAACAAACTATCACTAATTATTTATGAGCCCACTTGCTATACGATGAGAAGAGCTATAATATTTGTGCAAAAATAAAACTCACTTTCAAATATTCACATTCAAAGTCAGTGCAAACATTTGTGGACAAATCAGTGGAGTATTTTGTTTCAAACTGGGAAGGGCTTCTCTGACTTTCTGCAATAATTCATGATTGATATATACGTTACTTAATATAAAATTGGGATACCTTCTAAAGATAGTCCATTGTTTATATCACTAGAATGTATATTACAGTTAGAAATTCTTGTTTGAAGTGGTCCATATTACCTGTATCCTTGATTATTAGAGCATACCGTTTTATTGTACATGTATACTATTTCCCTAAAAGCTTCCAAAACCTTAGTAAATTTTGGAAATACTCTTTGGAATGCTTTCCTGTTGTGATGAAAATGCTGACGTATTTGTTTCCGCTCCGGGTTCTGAAAATAGTTCTTTTACAATCTTCGCAAAAGTTTGAATTATTTTGGACCATTGTGTCCCATCCAAAGAGAATGACTTCTTAGCAAACTAATAAAAAATGAATGTGAACATACTGAATCTTCGAATGAACAAATGAGTTCCTGCTTTATTTTTTCAAATTCTTGTGTAGTTATCAAAATCTACAAAGTTATTTCACTCTTTCACTCAAAACAGTTAGCAATCTAACCACCATTTGTTTTAATTCTTCTTCTAAACTGTTACCTAACTCCTCCGTTAACATAGTTTTAAAACTTAATAACGTGATACTCATTTTCATATAGCATCGAGTTGTTATTTTGCTTGGATTTATCCTTCAAGTGTGAGTGGGGGAAAAATGGTTTCTGTATATCTGAATGAACCAATCAACTCAACCATCCTGTCAATCTAAAAAGTAATAAAACGAATGAAAAAATGAAAATTGCTATTAATAAGGCATAACTATCATTATGAGTAATTAAACGAAATTTACAGCACTCAACAATGGTGAAACACAAGTAAAAAACAGTGAAAAATTCAAACATTTTTAAAAGATTGTTACAACTGTAAGCCGTTACCTTGTATGATAACAATCTTGCTATGAGATGCAGACTCCTTAAATCGCATTAAAGCTTTATTAAATCACAGCCCGTACATTGAAACTTATCAAAGGGATCAACTAATTCACAAATAATTTTCTGGTTCATGATTTGCAGCATGACAAATAAAGCAACAATTTCAGACATCTCCGACAGTATACACCTTGAATTCCAAAGAATTACGGCTAGAGACTTGAATTTTTCGAAGCTCTATACATAACTATACGGCGTAAATGTGACTCTTGAAATGGCATATATGATGTAAACATTTATTAACATATGTGTAAATGAACTTTAAGAATGTTTCGGTGTCAGCCTTACCCATAGGATTTCTGAAATTTATTGCCTTTTTAAAGGGTCATCATGTGTAAAAATTACAATTTTATATTAAAATATATTATTTTTAATCAAGAATATAACTTTTCTAGAACATACAAATTTTACGCGACTCATGTATTAACTTGTTAAGTATTCAAAGGCTACTGAGTATGTACAACAGTATCAAAAATGGATACTGTGAGTCACCGACAATACAAATGTTTGAATAAATGTACTGAGTAAGCTGTCTGGCTGTTGGTGAATATCCTAGGCATACTGCTATAATCATATATCACTAAAATATTTTTATCTGGTAAGACTATAGTCTGCGCAAGTTACTCAATATTCGTTGACCGGAAACCATCACCAACAGCCTACTGTAAGAGAGAACAAACTAGCTTCCAAATGAGGAGGAAATTAGGAAGAGACAATGGAAGTGGATAAGACATACATTACGAAAATCACTAAAACTGCATCACGAGGCGAGCGCTAACTTGAAACTCTAAGGGTAAACCGAAAAGAGGAAGGCCAAAGAACACACTACGTCGGGAATTGGAACCGAACATGAAAAAATTGAATAGCAACTGGAAAGAATTTTTCCTGACAGGTTTGGATGAAGAGTACTGGTGGGCGGCTTGCGCTCCTCCATGAGGAGTAGCAGGCGTTAGTAAGTAAGTAAGTAGGACTATTGTCGGTTTTGTTTATTATGCTAACAACTCGTAGGTCAGCTGAATGTGGCTCTCCAAAATCAATCCATATAAAACATCATTCAGAATTAGTGAAGTGGGGGAAATAAATAATTTCCTAATGGAATATGAAAACTGTTATAGTAGTGAACAACTTGTTTGCAATGTTCACAGTTTGAGGCTTAGTGTAAAAGACGTATTCCAACAAGGTTGTTTAAATTCCTTTTATGACTTTTCTCTCAAATTTTACGTGAACAAGATTAGACGATCAGTTCATTATGAATTTGCTGCAGCTAAACAGGCTGCACAGTGGTATGTTGAGGGATATGACTTCCAAAGGTTGCTTCAGAATAACGTAAAACATAATTTCAGAGACTCTTATATCTGTTACGGTTTTATGAAGCTATAACTTTCAGGGGCTCTAAACATTCGTTCTTTAGGTTTGAAAGTGTGATACTGGTCATAAGAATGCTTGGGATCATCACTTAAATAAAATAGAATTTCAAACCAGATAGCGACACCTGTGATTACTTCACAGATTCTTTCAATCCAATCAATATAGTTAGTTACTAATATTTCAGGTTTATTCCATAGTGCCTATGCATTTCCATGACAGATATACCTTTTTAGTGTGCCTCAATCCCTATATAAATTTATGAGGTAACAGAATTAAGTTTACACACCTTTGTGTAACATTGTGGTACACATTTTCATTCAGTTATCCTTAATATTTAGTTAATACATTAGTGACTGCGTGTAGACGTTTATACCCTACTTTTTGATCTACAACTTGTATGTTGTTGACAAATGTTCATAATTTGTGTCTGTGACATTTTCAGAATATGGGCCAATTCTTTGCCGCTCTTGGTAAACTTTTGGTTAGATTGTTACAGTTAGTCAAAATTAATACAAAGCTTTTTAAAGTTATTGCCCAGTAATTTGTCCAAAACTGATCGACTTTATCAAAATGTTTGGAGTTTGGGACAACTCAACAAGGAAAATTAGTACACTTACACTAAAAGATGAGCATAACCGATATTGATTACAAGCAAATATGTGTGATATTCGAGGTATCTGTTAGTTAGTATTAGAAGTTGATAAGATGAGGTTTAGAAAGCGTAACTAATTTAGACATCTAAATTTCCTCGTTTGTTTGTTACTATAGTAACAAGGTCATTTGTCATGAATATTTTCAGCATGTTTCAGATTTGAAAGAACAGGAGGCTAGATTGCCTGTGTTAGTTCTAAAAGTGGTAATCTCTCAGTTGACCCAACTTTTTTTTAAAGATGAAGCTGCAGTCACGTGTTGAGGTAACGAATTCTATCCGCTTATGATTCGATAGGGAAATCGATAGTCAGCTCACAATTAATTTGTTCAGAGCTTGAGAACTTTTTGTAGTGTAGTGTTGTTTGTATGAGCTAATGTTTTCTTTGTTCTTGATGTTCTGATTTTGAATTCCAAATACAATATGTTGCGACAGTCAGGAAGTTAGGCTATTGGTTCTCGCGCACGTGTCGAGGATTTCGGATGTCGTTATTCACCAGCTATTAACAGCGTTTTTCCGTCGCACATCAATTTCCATAATATTTGTGCTTGTTACGTATCTTTTATTTCAGTCTATTAGCAGGCGGACGTAGCTGTTGCTCACAACGTAGTAATGTTTAGTCATCCTAATGTAGTTATCCGTATCAATGCAAACTCAGGCAAGTGAAATTCGTCAATTAACAAGTCAAAAATAGACATTAATCAGGTATTTATGCTTTCACATTTGATTCACTTCCCTAATTATTCTGATGATGAACATGTATGTTGGTAGTTGTTTATAAAATATAGGTTGAAGCAACTAGGCATTAAACTATGTATGAACATTATATAACTTGTTAAAATACAGCCATAAACAGTTTTATCCATTATAATTAACCTCATTTTCGACTGAAGTGACACATTATTATGCAACGTATCTGAGAAGAATTATGTGTTACAATTGACGTTGACAGCCTTTTCTGCCCGCTTTATGGACATATACAGGAATTGTGTATAACATTACTGTAAGTGACATGTTAATTGGTCAAGCGATGCCTGTTTGCTTTGTGCGTGGTAACTAAACCATGTCATAGTTAAAACTAATTTATAATTTGTCTGTTATAGGGTTTACGTATGAGTTTCCGTAAACAGAATCTGCAATTACTGACCAAATTACAACCAAATTTCTAATGAATGTCTCCACGTCCACCATTGATGACCGTCTCCAAGTGTTACATGACGAATATATATCTTTTCAGTTATTATAAGCTTGGCTTCAAAAACCATGTGGTTAGAAAACAATGTCACTACAAGTATCCATCCGAACTTAATGTAATGAATAAACTTTTATATACGACGTAACATTCTAACGAAACTTCTAAACTGATGCAGTACTACATGTTTTCGTGACAAAATGGATACTTTTGAGGCAACACTTAGTTGTCTTTAACTTTCACAAATAGTTTCCCCCTAATTTTATCGGTATATCTCCCCATGAAACTACGGAGAATACAAAAATAAAAGTTTGGCAAACTATTATTGATGCATCATTACTCCTGGCACTGGAAGAGCGACATCGAATGCACTAAGATCAGTTTACAAATTGGATATGTAGTTAAGTTAAAAATACTACCACAAAGAACTTCTTATAGTTAACGCTTCCTTTCACGTCTCCACACTGTTGTATTGCGATCCATATTTTCTATCGTGAAGAATACAATCAAAGACTGGCGTTAGAGAAACCAAAGTCGTACCTACTTATTGATGATTCGTAAGCGAAAATTGGCTTCCTTAAATTTGTACGTACTATTTGCCTCGTCTGGGTGGTGAAATTGAAAGATGTCAGTGTTATCTAGCTTTCATTGACAGCATTATCTAATAATATGATGAACTATACAGTTTACATTTCGTAATTGATCGAGCTTGAATAGAATATTTCGTCTTCTTATGTATGCCAGAAGCATATGACAGAAAGGACACCGGCATGTGTCAATATATTCACAATTCAAGTTACACCTGCTCGCGATAAGTTTTGCTTCCAGGCAAACAGAACAGGACGCCATCGACCAAAATTATCCCGAAGATTTACTTAAACCGGACAAGATTTCCTCCAAAACAGGGAGATTGGGAAGTTGCGAAGCAACAATCGATCCAATGTGTGCACAGCAAGACAGAGATAGTGACACGGATATCCCAGTCTAACGTCTTTGACTGTGAAGCTGGGTGACACGAGATTGAATCCCTCAGGAAGCACTAGTTCCCTCAATATTACAGGCTCACATTGCTGACGAGTGCCAAATAGCACGAAACTCGGGTCCAGAGTTTCCTGTCGCCTACCTCCAACCACTATCTCATCTCAGCGTAGTGCACGCGATGTCGAGTCACCTAAACTATTGGTCAAATTGCAAATTGGTCGATAGCATTAGATCTGTACTAAGAACGACCTGACACTTGTGACATTGATCACCACCCAGTGAGCAGTAAATCGTGAACGCACATCAGTTTTGAAAATCATGATCTGATCTTTTAACCACACTCTGTGTTCTTCAGTCCCCCTAGTCTGAGCTTTTATTTTGTGACTTTGGCTGAAGACTCACCTTCTGTTACTTAATTTTCTTTGTTGCATATTACAGACCATTGACAATAAGGTCGTATTTGACTAAGCTCAAGGCCA